TAATGTTTCCAGATGGATATGCAGCGAATCTGAGCAGGGGAGTGAACTTAGGCACTTTACGAGTCAACGGGATGAAGAGTCATGACTACCACATATGGATTGAGCGGCTTCTTCCGGCGATGGTCCGAGGCTATGTCCCTAACCATGTCTGGCAAGTGCTGGCAGAGTTGAGTTTTTTCTTCCATCAGCTTTGTGCCAAGGAGATATCTCGGACCGTCGCTCAGGACTTGGAAAAAGCGGCACCTGTGTTACTCTGTAAGCTGGAGAAGATCTTTCCACCCAGCTTCTTCTTGCCCATACAGCATCTGATTGTGCACCTCCCGTCCGAGGCACGTTTGGGGGGGCCCGTGCAAGCCCGGTGGTGCTATCCAATCGAGAGATGTCTAAAGACTCTTCGTAAGAAATGTACAAATAAAGCCAGAATTGAGGCTTCCATTACAGAGGCAAGTCTAAGGGAGGAGGTGGCAAACTTCACAACACTATACTACAAGCCGAAACTTCCTAGCAATCATGATCCACTCCCTCGTTACAATGTTGGCGAAAATGAATGGACCCATAGCCTGTTCCAAGGCCAACTCGGCAGCACAAGTGGATCGACCAATAAGATATTGGGAAATGAAGAGTGGCGAAGTGTCATGCTATATGTGTTGACCAACCTTCCCGAGGTGCAGCCGTTCGTCGAGTAAGTTCTCAACGAACTTGTTTCAATACGCCCTGAATATTCTTCATGTAACCCCACTGATTCTCGTTCGGACAGGGAATTTGTTCGTGAGTCCTGGCATCAATCAAGGGATCCTACCTCGTAGGAACATGACACCCTTCTTTCTCGAGGTGCGGGTGCGGGGAGGCCTGATTTTATTTCTTGGTTCAAACAAAAGGTAATGTCCAATTTAGCTCCCACGTTCCATATTCCAAGTTTCTCGTTCGTTCGATTAATATAACAACCTATCATGCTTGAGCTTGCAGGCCCAGACTAACTCGTCCATGAGTGAGGAGTTGAGACAGGTTGCAGGCGGCTATGGCGTTAGGGTGCAGTCATTTACCGGTTATGACGTGAACGGATATCGCTTCCACACAACAAGATATGAGCAGACTCGGCCCAAACGGAAAACCACAAATAGCGAAGTTTGCACGCCCGGCACTGATGGCTTCGACTATCATGGTAGAGTTGAGGAAATATATGAACTCTCATTTCATGGTCACAAACATAAACCTGTCGTGTTCAAATGCCACTGGTTTAATCCTCGAGAAACGAGACGGACCCCTCATCTTGGACTAGTCGAGATTCGAGAAGATTCCGTCTATCCAGGAAAAGATGTCTACATTGTGGCTCAACAGGCCGTGCAGGTGTACTATACGCGATATGCCAACCAAGACAAAGCGGATCTTAAGGGTTGGGCTATTGTGCACCAGGTGTCTCCACACGGTAAACTACCTGCCCCAAACGATGACGATTACAACTTCAACGCAAACACATATGATGGACAGTTCTATCAAGAAGATGGGCTACCAGGCACGTTTGAGATAGTCTTACCCGAAGCGATCGAAATGGAAGTAGACAACGAAATGGAGGATGACGAGGTTGATGGAGATGTGGTGCAAAATGCCAAGGACATAGAAATGCTTGACCGATTAAGGCTAGGCAATGACAACGAAGACAACATAGAACCTTCAGATAGTGTTGCCCATTTGGACAATTTTGATAGTGATGACGACACCTATGATCCTAATCATGAAGATTATTCCTAATACATGTAATACTACGTTTGTTTTAGTTTGTGTTTTCTTTATTTATTTTGAATCTATTTCTAATATATATACTAATAAGTCTTGTTCATTCTTTGTGATTGCAGGTGATGGCGAGCAGCCGTCCACGATGTGAGACGGCCTCCCTTTACGGGAGACCATGCCCTCCCGTTTTAGACGAGGGGTCGGGGTTAGGGGTAGCGTCCATAGGAGGTCAGAGGAGGAGGACCAGGGTCAGCAAGAGGCAGCGGACTCCTTGCCCGCCACCTTCAGATGAGGTGATGGAGGAGGAGCACGTGACGGCCACGCCCGAGGGCAAGGTCGAGGACGAGGACGTCCGACAGACCCAGGACGAGGCGGCCGAGGACGAGGCCGCCGAGGGCGACAGTTCCGCTACCCCAACTGTCTACCAGTGAGGTCCCGCGAGCCTCCCTCAGCCTCCGCTTCCTCACAACCGGGCACTGATTCGCCCTATGGCAAAGAGGTAAGTAACTATAGATGTTATCACACCTACTTCATATGATAATGTTGGAAATCAAAAGAGGAACTGATAAATTTCTTAATCACTTGTGCAGGGCCTAGTTGGTTTTGTCGGGTACTTCTGCACGCTCCCCCGCGAGCATCCTTGGTGTTTTGTGCAGGAAATGGTACCCCGGCCTTGTGAACGTGTCCGAGGACGTGCGGGAGCTGGCCTACACGTGGGACAGGTACCAGTTGGCCCCTGACGACAGGTACCGCAACAAGCAGGAGCGGGTACTGGCGGAGTTTTGGGTAAGTCTCTCTCGCACAACATTTTCATTGGACAAGTCTTTTATTGAAATAATGAATGGATACATCGGTTTTGTATGCAGATGTATTTCAATCCGGAAGAAGGACTTGAGGCCCGGCAGATCGGTATTGCCGCCACACCTAGGGAAGTACGTCACCGACATGCACCACGAGGCGCGCGTGCAGGCCCACAGAGACTACTACGCCGTGGTGTTGAAGCAGTCCATCAACAAGCCTGATGCAAGAAAGGTGGAGCTGTCCCGGGCCCAGTACCTTGAGGTAGACGAAAAACATTAATAATGATTCGTTTTGAGATTAAGTCGGTTTAATTTTATCTTTTTCTATGTCCAATAATCGATGACTTGTAGGTGATTCCCTGGTGGTGCCGATCCCACTCCGTGTGCTGGGAGATGATCGTGGACAGGTGGTTGTCCAACGACTTTGCTGAGAACCACGCGAGGCAGCGGGACCAGCGTCTGCTGAGGCGAGGTGCTACTCACCATCAAGGCAGCCGCAGAGCCTACAAACAAGCATATGTAAGTGATTTCTTTTATCTTATTTGACGCTGAGTTCTGCCTTATTTTTCACCATCTTGTCGTCTTACTCGCAGGAGGCTGCACACCCGGGCGTGGAGGTCTCGGAGTTCTCTGCGTGGGCTATGTCCCACATGGGCAGGGCGTCTTCCTCTGTCTCCTTCGACCCGTCTGCCCCGCGCGAGGTGTACTCCAACCTGACCGCAGCACACACTAAGGTTCAAGAGTACACCTCAAAGGTGAGGGAGGTCCATGGGGAAGATTACGATGTGCGCGCATGAGCCCATTGATGCAGAGACCATCATGAGGCTAGGAGGAGGCAAGAAGCATGGGCGGCCAGGATTGCAGACGGCGCCATCGACTCCACCATTGTTCCCTCTCTCGATGTGCTCCGAGCACGCAGAGCACGAGCTCCAGCCAGCCCATACACCCACCTACTCACTCCACACTGCAGCAGCTGGTCGACGCTCTCGAGGTACGCCCCGCTTTACTCGTCAGACGTTCATCTTTGCACACCTAAGTTACATTTGCATTATTGAAACATTGAAGTTTGTATTGCAGGCCGAGCTGCAGCCCCGTAAGCTCGTGGTCGAGGCTCAGAGCGCTGCAAACAAGAGCCCGCAGAGGAAGCGTTCTCATGGTCCAGAGAGGAGGATGCAAGAAATGGAGGCCTTCATGCGGAGTGTCCAGCAAGGGGTGTACCTTTGCCATTGGCAAGACCTCCACCGCTCTACTCCTACAACCACTCCTCGTAAGTATGAAAGTTCACTCTTACTAGATGCTTCTTTGACATACAACCATGGTTGACATACAAACTTACTAGATGCTTGACATAGAAACTTACTAGATGCTTGACATAGAAACTTACTACATGCTTGCACTAGCTATGACATACACCAATGCTTCACATAGAAACTTACTAGATGAATCTCACACATGCAACCTCTTATCCTTTTTGCAGCTTCCGTCGACGGGTTCGAATAACCCCACTCATGCGTCACCGAATGAACCATCGTGTCATAGGCCGTTTTTTTGAGGAGTTGTGCTTCGTCATGTGCTTGGACTTGAGCTTCACTTGTGGTTGTGACTTGTGCTTTGACTTGATGGACTGTGTTTGTGAATTTGTGACTTGTGGTTGTGATATAATGTGTGAAAATGGTTTCGTTGTGATATATATGTGATTATTGTGATGTTTGTGATATATATGTGACATGTGATATATATTTGAACTGTTTGTGTCAGTGGAATGCAAAAAACAAAAAAAAATACAGTTTCGGTTGATTTGCCGAGTGCAATGGTCATGGCACTCGGCAAAGCTGGGAAACTTTGCCAAGTGCCAGGACATTGCACTCGGCAAAGATTTTTTTTTAAAAAAAAGCAAAAAATCTTTGCCGAGTGCCAGGCTGGGGAGGCACTCGGCAAAGAGCTTTTTTAAAAAAATAAAAAATGTCTTTGCCGAGTGCCTTGCCGCCGTGGCACTCGGCAAAGAGTTTTTTTTTAAAAAAATAAAAATGTCTTTGCCGAGTGTCCTAACTGTTGGCACTCGGTAAAGGCGCCGTCAACGGAGCAGCGACGTTGACAGCTGTTTTTCTTTGCCGAGCGCCGCTGTTGGCCCTCGAAAAAGGTTTTGCCGAGTGCCCGACAAATAGCCCTCAGCAAAAAACCTCTTTGCCGTTATTTTTTTTTCGAGGGCTCTTTGCCGAGGGCGGCGCTCGGCAAAGCCTTTGCCGAGGGCTTTTGGGCCTTTGCTGAGTGCCCTGGCCCTCGGCAAAGACGGCGTCTCCGGTAGTGTTTGGTAGCTAATTTTGATCCAAAACGTACATAAAACTTGCTCGTGCAACTGTACGTATGCTCGTACACGGAAGGTAGCACTACTAGCATACACGGTTACAAAATATTGTTCCTACGAAGGCACTGGCTTGGACTCAGCACTCAGCCGCCTATATTATGCATCTAGGCGTTGATGAACGGGGCGCCGGTGAGGTACTCAGTGAAGGCGAGCGCGACGAGGCCGAGCATGGCGAAGCGGCCGTTCCAGAGCTCGGCGTCGGCGCTCATGACGGCGCCGCTCCTGGCCTCGGCGCTGTCCCCGCTGAGCAGCGGCACCAGCGACGCCACGGACAGCACGGCGGCCGTGGCCGCGAACCAGGCCAGCCCGGAGCCGCTGCCGGCCTGCGAGAGGAGGCCCCCGCCGCGGGACGCCTGGACTGCGAGCGCGGACACGAAGCCCACCATGGCGAGCCGGCCGCTGATGCGCTCGGGAGCCGGCCCGCTGAACGCCAGCGCGTCCCGTAGGTTGTGGGTGATTGAGGCGCGTGCAGGCGAGAGTAGAGGGCTAGTACTGGTACATGCGCGCCAACTGGGTGGATGGCGTCGCCATGCATCGACGTGGATGGCCAGGCCGCCGCGCGCGCAGCTTGGCAAGGGCGAGGTGGCCGGCTCCCGTCGCCGAAAAGTGGCAGAAGATTCCAAAACCATGCAGGGAGAGCCGGAGACGTGTAGGTCACGACGAGGGTCAAGTGACGACATGCAAATATGCAATGCAGGGAAGATGTGTACATGGCCAGGCAGGAGAGAGGCGCTGTGTCAGGGATAGCATACTGTAAGCTTAGGCATCGTATGGGCATTGGGCCATATATCTGGTAGTTACCTAAGACCATGAGAACCGGTACCAAAGCGAGGTTGGCTATGTGATCGGTCGCTTCATATCCGACCTCGATCTCGGCTTCAACTCTACCTGTGGATATCCGAAACCCGCGTGGGCATGAGTTTGGACAAAATTCTGTACCCATCACGGGCATGGGTGTTTTAATGGGTTCATCTAATTTTCATGGGCATGGATCTAGGACGGTAAAATCTAGCGGATTTGTGCCCGTTGCCATCTCTATTGGGTTGTCATTGTGTGTTTTGTGTGTTTTGGCGTAGTGTCTAGTAGGCCAAAATTCAGTATATGACGTTTACAGGAGCTGCCAAGTCAGCGCCACATCAACATTTATGACGTTTTTAATCCTACGACGTGGTATCTATGTACGTGGAAGGGCCTGGATATCTATATGAAACAAATGAATGTCATAGATCTTTGTGAAATAAACAATAACATCATATTTTTTATAGTATCGGGTTTTATAGTTGAGGAGGTTAAATACTCAACCTTTGATACATTAGGAGGTTGTGTAGATTTTTTAATATGCCACGACAATAAGACCACCTTCAAAATTTCCTTAGAGGGTTAATTAGACGGTTTTCAATAATTTATAAGGGGTAAAATACCTGGTTTTATAGGTGAGGTATAGTAAACAACATCTTTTAGTTGGGGACGTTAAGTAGACCTTTTCCCATGCAGTTTTAAACAAGAACACCAAATAAAACCCTCACCCACCGAATTGGACGGGTATATGTTGGGTTCACCGTTTACGGGTTACCCACTTTGTACTCAAACCTTGAGCGGGTCTATTGGCGGGCTTGGGGACGTGTGCCTGGGGATGCCGGTGGGCTTGGGTGGCAGGTGGTACTTGGGCGCTGGCATGGGCAAGAACGAATGTGGGAGTATAGAGGATGGGAAGAGAATGGACAGAGATGGGATGAGGAGAGGGAAAGAGGAAAAGGATGGGAATAGAACACAGAGAGAGAGAGAGAGAGAGAGAGAGAGAGAGAGACGGGATGAGGAGAAGGAAAGACAAGAGGGGGATAGTGCAAATACATGCTACGTTGGCAATGCCATGTCAGCAAGAAAACACTAACAAAGCAGTATGAAATGAACCAATGATGCACCAGTTAATAAATTAAGTTATCAAGAATGTATTTTCGGAGTTTACGGAACTAAATAGTACACCATGATAAAAAAAGGATAGGGTCCTTTAAAACTATCTGTTTATTCAAGTATTCTAATAGTGTTTGTGCATCATTCGATGGTAAGAACTTTTTGTGCTCACACTGCAGTCCACTGGAGAAGAGAGAAAGAAACAGGAGAGGTGCGATACGTTGGAGTAAAGGGCTAACTAAGAATTTGCAGCCACATGTAGCTTATTCTAGCATCGGTGCAAAGAATAAAGAAAGAATATTTTTGGCCAAGCTTCCAAGTTGTTGGTCATGTTTACTGCTCAAACGGGATCCGTACTAGCAACGTGATTGGAAGTTACCGTTCGGCTTACCTTATAATCCGCACTATTCAGCTTGTTTTTCCAGTTGGAACAGTGTTTTCTCTCACAACAATTCAGCCAGAACAGTGTTTTTTAGCCAATTCAGCCAAGTTTCAGCAAGCCGAACGGGGTTGGAGCAAATTAAATTTTATTAGGACAGTGCCAATATATATAGAAACTATGAGATAGTTTCCATGCTTGCTAATTAATATAGATATCATCTATAGAAACTATGCTCCTAATGGGTAGTTTGTACAAATAAAATGTTCATCTAATCATGTGTCTTCTCTCTTATAGCATCCGGCCACCAATCACGTCTCTTTGTATCTTAGTTTTCGTGTAGACATGGTTTTTTATATAAGAAACCATTTCCTTTTCTCTCTTCAATAATGACACATCAACATTTTGCTTTAGTTAATGCACTGATTAATGGCTCTATTCGTTTCGCTGAAATTTAGCTGCTGCTGATGCTGATTTGTTGTGAGGGAAAAACACTCTTCGTTCGCTGAAAAAACAGGACGAATAGCTATAGAAACTGGCTAGTTTCTGGGTTTGAGTGCCCTTAGCATGGAATTTGGTGACATAACTTCCTTTAATTTTCAGCTCGGCAGCTTGTGATGGGAGAATAAATACTAAAGCCGGCCTAAGGAGTCCTAGTCGACCATGAATAAATGCATTGCTATGCATATACCTACCTTGTATGTTGTAACGAAAAAATATATGCGGAGGACCACCTCCATGTGACCGTGTCCCCATGGTGCTGCAAAGCATATAGGAGGAGTACGCGAGAGAGTTGCAGCTAGCATGCAAGACGATTCGACGCTGCCAACTGCCAAGGCTATTTATCGGGCCGGCGGCTGGCGATGAGAGCGGCTCCAGGCCTCCAGCCCTCCAGAGTCCAGACCTCCGCCAGTCCGGCGAACGGCAACCCGGCCGTATCGTGGCCGTGCACGACCACAGCCGCGCAGTGCAGTGGAGGCAGCATCGATGTAAGTTCAAATTCTGCTGTTGGTAGTCCGTACTAGTTACGTTGTACAATACTGACTGCAAACTGATTTGACAAACGAATCGCAGCAGCAACTTCTCTCGGCATTTCTCATGCATTTCTGCATCTCGTCTTGCGCATCACTGTTCAAACCATGGATGGATCCCCGGTTGTCCACAGCCGGATCGGAGCTTAGTCTGCTAAATACGATATAGTGCATGTAACACAAACGAACTACTATATATAATAAGATATTTTGAACACTAGCCACTTTTATAGTTTATTAAGGACATGCATGATCCATATACGCAGTTCCTAGCTATTAACTTCATTCTAAATTGTAAGTCGTTCTACCTTTTCGAGTAATATATATAAAGGGAGTATTAACCTCTATTTCATAATACTGTACTTTTTAACCTTCTATACCCATTCTAAATTAGTGGTCATTCTCACTTCCTAGTAGTACATGTTTCTCACTTCCCAACACACCTCTGTCTCCATCTCTCTTCTTTTCGTTTCCTATGCACTACATTTTTCACTTCTCCTTAATTTTTGTGACCAGAGCTAAAATGTTATCTATTCTAGGATCGATGGGGAGTAATTTTTAGACCTTGGAGGATACAAACACGAATGCTAAAAGACTAAAAGGTGGGCTAATTTTTAGCCACCTCCCCAAGTAGTTATTAGTCCATTAGCTCTCCAAACCCAGCTAATTGAGGCTAAAAGTGCTACTGATTTCCAACAAGTCATTTCTATCCCCCTCTTCTCTCTCATCTCCCTCTCTCTGCCCACCTTTCTCGAGCTCGCCATGCATGGCAGGACTTGTCCTCAGCTACCACCACGATTGTCATCGCCCCTCCATGCCACCTCCCACCCGCTATCGCCGCCTGCACCCCCTCCATCTTGTTCTCTTGTGCATCCATGTACATCGATGGGTTTCGCCCGCCTCGGGCTCGATTCTACCGCACCGCCATCGATCTATTGAATCAGCTTCAACTGCTGGCCTAGCGTCAACCCACCATGCACGCCGGCCTCGACCGCCCTCACTCTGGTCTCACTCGGCCGTAACCGCTACCATCTTGTCCTCGACCGCCACCCACACTGCTCCAAGTCGTCGATGGGTGAGAGGACTGGAGGAGTGGGGTAGGGACGCTAGTTGCCATCTGCGTGAGGAGAGAGCCACAGAGAGGAGGGGGTGGGTGAGAAGAGAGAGAAATGTTAGTGGTGTCGGATGAGAGAGAAATGATAAAATAGAAGGATACTTTTGTCCATAGCCAAGAATATATTAGTTAAGATACAAACATCATTGGGCTAATTTTTAGCTGGCTATTTTTTTTATTAGGAGAGCAAACAATTAGCCCTGATATATCAGGTTGGGATCTTAGACAAACATGGTTTGGAGAGTTATATATAGTACCCTCGGGTTGATTGTTAATAGATGACGCTGGTGTGCACTGGCGAGCTTCATTGAGGCCAAAAGGACCATGGCCACCCCTAACTTTGCAATTTTTGTTATAGATAGAGTTATATACTTAACTATGCTAAAATATTGTTAATTTTATGTATCTAACCACTGATAGCCTCTTTAACATTCTTGTGAACGTCCGCTAGTGCGGTGTGCATTTCATAAAGTACAAGAAAACATGTCGCTGAGCGAAAAAATGAGACGGACGTACTTCCTCAATATGTACACTTTTACTCTGTATATATATCAAGTGCATGCGCATTAACTCAATGATTTACTTCCAAAAGTCTCATGCTGCAGCAGCAGTAGTACGTTGTACGTGATAGTCGTCGAGCAAATAAAACAAGAGCGTGAATATAGAGAGTTGTGGCAGCGACAAACGTTTTAGGTTTTTCAGTAGAATCATTGCCAAACTTCACAAGAGCGAAACATTCTAGGGAAAAATTAGTTAGAACCGATTCTCGTTTGTGTGCTAGTTCAGAGAGAAACATCCAAAACCTAATTTCTCTTGATACTCGTTCTAGTTTAAAGAATCCAGCAAGCTAGTCGATCTGATTCAATATGTAGTGATTCTGATTATCGAAGAAACATTTATAAAGGAAACCTAAATCTAAAATGTTTCTACAAGAATCTAGAAACTATCAAA